CCAAAAGTCTGGGCGATTCCAACAGCAACTCCGAAACCAGGGCAGTCAACTCGGTCCGGGAGTCTGTTAAGTAACGGGGTGGCCGGTACACCAACAGAATCCCCAAACTATCCCTGGTCTTCAGGCTAAGGTACATACAAACACTTAGCAAAGTAATTATTTGATCTTCTTCAGTACTGAAGTTATATTGTAACAATCTTTGGCCAGAAGCCTGTTGTACAGTGAGCTTTGGTATCCACTCTGGTTTGGTTCCAGGAAACCCCAGGGATGTCAAAATCTATGGATGCTCAAGTCCCAGTATATACAATGGTGTAGTAAAATGGTGTCCCTTATAGAAAATTGCAAAATCAAGGTTTGCTTTTTGGAATGTCCTTCTCTGGAATATTTTCAAGCTGTGGATGATGAAATCCACAAAATGGATGCAGAATCTGTGGATAGGGAGGGCTGATTGTATACTGATGGATGTAACTCTCTGTCACTGTAGTTGTTGCTTCAGTTGATTGAATGAAGGTTGCTCCCTTGCCCCTACCTCTAATGCTGGGTGTGGAACAATGACCCAGGAAAGGGGGGCTTGCAGGCATAAGACCATTTCCTCGGCCATTGCTCAGAGGTAGGAGTCTGCCTGAACATGATGTAGCTGGAGCACTCCAGGAATGGCCTCTGCCTCCAAGATAGGACTGTTCTCTTGTTCCCATATGTTTAACAGTGGTCAGAATGTGCTTAGGCACACCTTGATCTCTGCTCAGTGGCAAGGAAGACAGACTTGCATCTACTGTAGGAATATTGTGGCAAGACATTTATTCTGCAGACTTCCAAACCCACTCCCATATGCCTGTGTAACCGAGGGTCATGCCAGCATTTTTCATCAACAGGATGCCAGCCATAATATGTCATAGAAAAGTGTGGAAAATAGTGGTTGCATTGAGAGGAATTTTTTTGAACAAGAGTGCATTCAGATATATGCTTTTGATTAATTCCGCTCACTTTATTCTTTTCCAAGGATTGTTCAAATACCTTGATTTCTATTGTTTGTTATTTTTATCCTAAGTATAGTAGGGCATTTAGTAGTGATGTCTTTAATTTTTGACAGTTTCATTTATTATTTCAAGTTCATCTTAAAAAACACTTTAGTTCTTTTTTAAATGCTCTTTTAGCTATTCTGAGCAATGATTTAATTTAATTTATAGGAACAATTGGAATTATTCCTCTTAATACACAGGCATGGACTAGCCCACTGAAGAAGACTAGTTTGTGACTGAAAAGCATTTGTCATTTTCATTCCATTTTTCTTGTTGTTTCTCATTTATGAGAAATTTCCTTTACACTACAGAGGCATCAATGTGCTTTTAATTTTTGTGACTCTGGTGGGCCAGATTTGATAATAAGGCCTGTAGGCAGGCACTTTCCCTTCTGTGAAGCTATAAAGCAAGGGTCGGCAACCTATGGCCCGTGGTCTGCACCCGGCCCGCAGACCCCCGCCGCCCGCCCCCCGTGGACCCCTGTCGCTGCCGCTGCCGCCGCCGCCGCACACACCACTAATGCCGACCGCTGCCACCATTTTGCTTTCCAAAATGGCAGCTGTGACTCATTTGTGCATGCGCAGTACTCCTGCGCATGCACGAACGAGCCGCGGCCGCCATTTTGGAAAGCAAAATGGTGGCCGCGGCACGCGCGGCCAAAATGGCACCCTGGGGGAGGCCTATCACCGCCGAGGAAGCCTCTCGGGGTCACCCGCGGTGGGGCTGGACCTCTAGGAGGCCCGTCGCTGCTGAGGGAAGCCTCCCCGGGGGGATCCTCGGTGGCACTGGGCCTCTAGGAGGCCCATTGCCGCCAAGGGAAGCCTTCCCGGGGGGGACCCTTAGACCCTCAGTGGCACTGGGCCTCTAGGAGGCCCGTTGCCGCTGAGGGAAGCCTCCTGGGGGGTACCGGCAGTGGCGTTGAGCCTCTCGGAGGGAGCCCTCCTAAGGGAGCCCGCCACTGTGCGCATGGGCACATGGGGGGGGGCGCCCGCCATCTTTTTCAAAATGGTGGCACGTGCGCCCGCAGGGGAGCGCGCCCGCACGGGGGGGCGTGCATGAGCGCGCGTGCTGGCCCACAACGCCGTCTCCCCTCTCCTTCTGGCTCATCGGCAAAAAAGGTTGCTGACCCCTGCTATAAAGCATTATGTTAATTTGAAAGGTGTTTGTTAGTTTATTCAAATTCATTCATTCATAGAATCATAGAATTCATTTTACAGCAATTCTTTTTAATATAACAAGTTGGCTGTCAATTTTATCTTATGGTTGATGGATTTGATTTCTTTTTGTTTGTTCTTCCTTCCTGGAAGAATGAAAAAGATAATGAACTGTTTTCAGCATGGCAGGAGCAGATGTCTGCTCATGTAATGGGGATTTTCTTCCATTCCTCCCCATAGCACCTCATATCCTTTGGAAACCTGGTAACTGGCTGATCTTCAGGGTGGTTCTGGAAAATGAGTTGGCGACAAAGTAGAAAGTGGTCAGTAGAGGAAAACTGGGTGGAGGTGGGAGTAGCTTACATGAGTTTTGTTGTTGTTATTGTTAGCTACCTTTGAGATGACCTCGACTCATGATGACCCTGTGAATGAGATGTCTCCAAGCCCCCCTATCCTCTACCTACCTCTCTGCTCAGGTCCTGCAAGCTCAAGCCCACGGTCTCCCTGATTGAGTCTAGCCATCTGGCATGTGGTCTTCCTCTCTTTCGACGTCCCTCCACCTTCCCAGCATCACTGTTTTTCTAATGAGTCATGCTTTCTCATGATGTGGCCAAAGTGCAACAGCTACCATATAGTCATCTTGGCTTCCAGGCTTAATTTATTGTAGGACCCAATTGTTTCTCTTTTTCATCCTCAGAAGTATCCTCAGCACTCTTCTCCAGCACCACCTCTCAAATGAATTAATTTTCTTCCTATCTGCTTTCTTCACTCTCCAGCTTTCACATTTGTGCATGGTAACAGGGAATGCAATGGCCTGAATGATTTTAACTTTAGTGTTCAGCTGTATGGAGTTTATCGCATTGACTTTGCTCCCTTGATAGAAGGGGATATAACTTTAAGAAGGCAGATCTTATTGCATTTCCCCATTCTTGAAAAGATGCAGGAAAAGCCCTGGTTGCAAATGGGCTGCGTATTCCCCAGTGATGGGGAAATGCGATATATATTAGCCTTAGCAGATATTTTCACATTTAGATCTCATCTGGATGATCAGATTATTTTATGTTGATACGACTTTAACAAAACTATCATAGGCCCAAGGTCACCCAGTGGGTTTTTATGCTTGAGCAGGGAATTGAACCCTGATCTCCAGATTCATAGTCCAGTACTCAGACCACTACACCACAGTGGCTCTCCTCTCTCATTCTTAGGGTTGCCATAAGTCAAAGTCGATTTTATGGCAAATAACAACAATTCTTGCTTGACTATTTCAGATTTGAAGTTTTGTAGTCAATGTAATCAAATAAAAAAATATAATTAAACTTCTTTGCAGTTATACGGCCTAATTTTTTAAACATTCTTAAAGACCCTGGCAATCACACTACAGACAAACATGTTCTTTTGCTAGACTGTAGTTTATCAGGTAAGCAATGAACTTGGTAGTCTGCTGTGTTCGTGCACTCCTCTGTTGTAAGGTCAAGAAAAGTCTGTATTTCTTGGCTTTTTAAAAAAAAATAGCATGTCTTGCATAAGTCAAGCAATTATGATTAATTTTTTTGGTTTCATAACTCGTTTATTTACACCCTTTCTTTTCATTTACATTTCTACTTAGCAAATTATAGTATGTATGATTTCTAACACATAAATGTTATTCTAAAACATATTTTCTTCTTTTATGAAATATATTTTCTTCAATAGACTTTTTATTCTTTGTCTTCTTGTTTACAGTCTTTTTCCTTCCTTTTCTCAACCTTTCTTCTTCCCTTTCTTTTTTCTTTTCTTTCTTTCTTCTTCTTCTTCTTCATGGTTAATCTTTACCATGGCTTAAACTAGGGAAGATGAATATGTGGCTCTCTAGATGATGCTGAACTAAAAATTCCATCATTCCTAGCCAGCACAGCCAGTGGTGAGGGATAATGAGAGTTGCAGTCCAAAGCTGTTTGACCATAGGGCTGTAGTCTGTCCATCCTTGGTTCACACAAATCAGCTTCATAAACCATAGTTTGATATGGCAAAGTATACTGTATTTACAAAGTGAAAGTCTCTGAGCTTTTTGCAGACATGTGGGGAGTAGTGGATGTGAACTTGTGGGGAGGCTAGGCTTATTCTCATCTTGTTAAGCATGATGTTAGAATGCAACCATTTTGTCCTGAAATTTATAGCCTACTTCTAGAATTTGACTGAAGGGTTGGGAATGAGATCTTAAATTCATCAATCAATCAATTCATCAGATAATTGATTACAGTAATTACATTTGCATTGCCTTTCCTAGGACATTATCACATGGAGAGTCGCGGGGAGAAAGTGGAAATAAACGGGCACGAGCGGAAGTCTTTAATTTACGGGATTTGTCCCGTTCCGCCTCGTCTGATAACTAAATTCAAATTTAAAAGGTGGTTAATTCGAATGCAAACCTGATCTCATTCCTCATTGAGGATTTGAAAAGATCAGTTTTTGTTCAAATTAACCCCCTTTTAAATTCAAATTTAGTTATCAGACGAGGCGGAACGGGACAAATCCCGTAAATTAAAGTCTTCCGCTCGTCCGGTTTATTTCCACTTTCTCCCCGCAACTCCCCATGTGATAATGTCCCTAATGAATTGAAAGTATCAGATTTGACCTTTCTTCTTCATTTACTTCTTAACTGTTGGATTAGAAGTACCGTATTTTCCGGCGTATAAGACGACCTGCGTATAAGACGACCCCCCCCCATTTTCCCAGTCAAAATATAGAGTTTTAGCACCTCTATCCTCATCATCCTTATATCCGGCGTATAAGACGACCCCCCCACTTTAGCCACAGATTTTGCAGGTAAAAAAGTAGTCTTATACGCAGGAAAATAAGGTAGTTTCCCAGGGTGTTAGCCTGTTTTTTTGAAGGAGAAGTTCAGCAATTTTTTTGCATATTCCTCTGCTACTAACCTCAGTAAAACAAGGCAAACAAGTAGTATTCCAGTTATATAACTGAAAAGTTTACTAGGTACATTCAAACATATATTCTAAACAAATACACATGGATGTCCTTGATCCTGACTAACTAAAAGAAAGTTTCAGGTAGAGGAGGAGCTCAGCAGAGCTGTAACACACCATCTACAAGGGGGGGTGTGTGTGTGTGTGCTCAATTTCCATTATATAAAATGGTGTAGTAAAATGGTGTCCATTATATAAAATGGCAAAAGCAAGGTTTGGTTTTTGGATTAAAAATATTTTCAAGCTGCAGCTGGTTGAATCCATGGACACAGAATCTGTGGATACGGAGGACTGACTGTATAATCCAACACATGTGGGGGGTACCAAATTGTGGGAGACTGAGGTACATATAGTTTGGGTCACACATGGGTTTCAATTTGAAGGAGCAGGCCGGCTGTGTTCCCCTCACAGTTCCAGAGAATTTGAAGATGCAAAAAGCTAGTCATGCTAAATACAGTGGAAATGGTTTTCAGTTTTTCTAACCTACATGGCAAAAACAAAACAAAACAAAACAAAAACTTTTTTTTTTATCCCTGTGAGGATTCCAATATATAGTGGATTATAAAAATAGTGCCCATTCATATGAATGTTTGGACCAAATCCAATTGTTAGTTATTATCTTTTCAATGCAAACATGATAGGCCAGCCCATTTATGAAATCCATTTATTCCTTGGGTCTCCTTTATTTCTGTTGTGTGCCTTCAAGTAATTTCTGACTTATGGTGACCAGAGGGGGATGCAGACCAGGGCGTCCAGGACGCCCTGGTCCGGAGCGCCGCGGGGCCATGGCAGCCACACCGCGGCGCTCCTGCGGCGTCCCTGGAAGGAGCGCTAAATCAGCGCTCCTTCCTCAAGACAGCGAAAGTGCGCCCTAAACGCGTAGGGTGCACTTTCGCTGTCTTTTCCGCCGCAGCGCATGCGATCGCTGCGGCGGGAGGTTGCCCTGGAAGCGCCGGCCGTGCGGAGGGCCGGCAGCTTCCAGGGCGACCTCAGGGAGAGGAAGGAGCGCCGCGCGTGCGGCTGCTCCTCCTCTTCCTGGGCTCGGAGACGACTCTATTAGTCGTCTGCCGAGGCCCTATAAGGTGAACCTATCATATGGTTTTCTTGGCAAGAGTTGTTCAAATGGGGTTTGCCACTCCTTTCCTCAGAGGCTGAGAGAGTATGATTTGTGCAAGGTCACCCAATAGGTTTACATGGCTAAGGAAGGATTTGAACCCTGCTCTCCTAGAGTCCTAGTTCAACACTGAAGCCACTACACCATGCTAGTTTTTCTGCCTATTTTCTGACCCTTGTGAATTCCCATGTCCTCCCCAGTAGAACAAACTCTTGAGTTCTTATCAATGAGGCCAACCTACTGATTGTCAGAGCATGTCACATATGCTTCACTATATCACCACTTTTCAAAAAATTCCAAAGGACATCCTAAAATATGCTGGCTGGGCCATATATCAGCAAAAATTAATAGATTTGTTGGGACATTTTAATATCCTAGCTGTTTCTTTTGTTTATAGGGAAAAATTGTGCGTGACCAGTGGCTGAAATTTGGAGATTTCATTTGTAATTGTGCAGGACAAGTGGTCATGTTATGGAATAACCTTGCAAGTTTAGTTCTGCAAGGATTTCACAAAAACATGACCCTTGGAGACCAAAATGTCCTGTCCTACAACATTAAAGTAAACCAAATAAAAATTTAAAAATCCTTCTCTTTCCCATAGTAGACAAATATTTCCTTAAAGCCTACAAGAAAAACATGAGGGAAAGAGCCCATGGCCACTGTTGTTCAAATGGTACAACACATTTAGAGGTATCATGGGTTACCAATCTTGCAGCTATAAATTCTCTACATTCTATAAATTCTCTACATTATTATATGACAAATTACTTTCTTTTGTCTTTGTGGAGGATCTATGTTATGAGAACAGAATTTTTTTCTATAGCAGGAATAACTTTATAAATATTTATTATGCCCCTCTCCCACCAGCTCATATTTTGTCTAAACTAAAAAGCCACAGATGTCTTACAGGGAAGGTTGTCTGCTTGACACTCACCCTTTGACAGATCTGGTCACATTTTTGTTCACCTTTGTAGGTCTGAAGTGTTGTTTTTGTATTGAGGACACCTGAACTATCAATTGTGTGTTAAGTGTGCCTGTGCAGTTGGACTCTGATGTTTTCCTTTTAAAATAATGTCATATTCTCTGTACTAGTAATACTATTTTCCCCCTTTTACTGGGGGATGAGTCTCTTTCCCTGGCAGAGTGCCTGTTATTTTCAGCATTTGGATGTATATTTCAACAATGTCTTCAGAAAAATGAGGTTTCACCCCTGCTTTATTATATTCTTCCTCCTCCCTTGTTTTTGTTTAGCTGCAGATCTTTCTGCAACACCAGCTTCAAGTATAACAAAAAATTAGTTGAAGAACACTTTCCTCTTTTGTCTCCTGTATTTAGTTTTGTGATCACAGTTGAAGCACCAGATGTTTTGTGACATTAAAAGCAGTCCTGAAAAATCCCCAAACAGTGTTAGATTTAAGCCAAAAGCATGAGGCGGTGGAAATAGGCATGAAAACAGAAGACCCTATAGGCAAACTGAGAGTGCTTCATGGAATGTGTCTGGAAAATCTTTTGTTCTGGATTAATCTCTTCCCCTGTTTAATCTTAACTCATTGTTTCCTCTGTTTTAGAATCATGTTTATATTCTCTGTAGTTAGAGTACAAGAGAATGGATAGAACTGTTCAAAATCTAAGAAGCAGGGTATGTGTATAGGAATACATAAATAGAAGAATAATTTATGAAAGGATTCTTAAAAGGGAAGTTGAACTTTTAATTCATGGAGTTAATTTTGCTCTCTAGGAATATGTTCCATAGGGCTATTTAAATATGTAAGTCAGAAATAATGCTGTGAAAATCTGGTTCCCTACCAGATTTTGAGTACTATCTAAGTAGAAGTCAGGGTGAACTACATTGGCATTTAACAATCTTTTGGAGAGGATTAGTGGATTCTGGAATATTTCAGGCTTATGTAGCATTTACTTTGTGGAAGTGCAAGTAAATTAATCAAGTGTATCAACCAGGTTATTGACCCAAGCTGCTTTTGATGTGATAGAAATTCTATACTTGTGGACCTCATCCTCCCGTGATCAATTTAGCCGTTTACTATTTCAGCAAACCTAAACTCTGGAGCTCATCACATGGCTTTTAAAACTGTCTTACCTCTCCTGACT